TTCTGCAAGAGATTTATTCAGCACTTGTGTGATTGCAGAATCTCCTTGGCTAACCAAACACATGCTCTTAAACTTCTTAAACATCTGTAAGACTTTTCCATGATAATCAAACTCACTTTGAACCACCATATTTTTTTCACTGTTCTAATCATCTGTTCCTGAGCTTGTTGCATTGTGACCTGAAAAGAAGCCAAGTTCATCCAAGGCCTCAATACATCTGTTTGAATCAAAATTATCAATCTTAAGTGAATTTTTTATAACGGCATGTATGCTTTGAAGTTAAGAATCCATTGACGTTTCTCACTCCTCCACTTTCTTAATTCTTGGCTTCTTTCCTTCATCTTCTGCTACTTAGTTTCCATTTGTTCCTCATGCTTGCATTTTCTATCTGCTGCTTCTTTCTCACATTGGCCTTTCCGCATATTCCTTCTATGAACAGTCTGAAAGTTTCTTCCACCATTTCTTGATCATCTCTTTCCTCTTCAGAATCAGAGGTTGATATAACCCCTGTTTTAACGAAATGTTCCCTGATTCGACTTCTTCCCACTTTTTTTGTCTGGCTCTTCTCTTAGCTTATCTTCTTTCTGGACTTCCTCATCATTTATAAACTGTTTTTTAGGTTGTTTTTCCTCTTGCCCCCTTTTCTTACTTTTGTCTCCTTCAGTTACCATGTCACTCGCTGAAGGACAGGTCTGTTTTACCATTTGGAGTCTACCACTTGGTTTTGGAATCCTGACTTCCGTGGCTGCAGGTCATCCTTTTTAAGGACTCACTTTTAGATTTACAGATGATGTTGCTATTGTCATCACTCCTACCTTTAGTTTCTACTTGCTTTTCTGCCTTTCTCTTTCTCCTTCTCAAAAGAAGGTGGGACATCTGAATGACTGAATCTAAGAGGGGGAAACCCTGAGGATTTTCCTACTGCCACCATTTTAGAATAAGGTTTTCTAGTTAAAGCAAGTAAAATTTTCCAGGTTTAAAAATAAATGGCACCTATAAACAAATATGTAAACCTCTCCTAAATTTAACATTACTTTCTGTTTAAAATGCAAGACATCAATTTTTCCTCATCAGAGAAGGACTCTGATTTCTGTGGAGCATAAATTCTAAAAAATCTTGAAGGTATTATGAAATATTTAAATGATTAGATAAAAGCACTATTTCCACTTGCTGAAACATGTCAGCAAACATTGTTTAGTGTTCAGGCTAGCTGCCTCAAGCTAACGTATAAAAAACCACAACAATACGTATATTCTATTTTTGCTGCTATTTTGTCCAATCCTACAGTTCTATTGCTAAAGCTTAAGGACTGAGAATGAAGATAAATAATTCTTGACTTTTGCTTAGCTTTAAGGTCTTTGCACTTGTGAAAAAAGACTCTAAGGAAATAGGAAATACTTTAGTATTTTTAACTATTTTCAATATCTCAAAGGTATAGTGGACATAAAACTCTAATTTTGTTTTTCTACGTATTAAAATGATCAGAACATGTTAACCTAATTTATTTGAAAGATAACGCTAAAAATTTATTTAGCACTATGTTTAGGGTTCTCTTATTTGTCAGTTTATTTAGAATTGCAGGTATTCAATTTCAATATTTATTTTTACTGTAATTTGACAGGCAGACCAATGATGTAGGAAAAAACCTCTAATGGGGCCTTTTAATAGTTAATATTTTTCTCCCTTTTAAACCACGTATGTACTAAAAGGAGAAAACTAGAGTATACCAATTTCAAACAAGTGGATTGTTCAAAAGAATTTCAGTATCAAACCGAAAGTGTTAACCAGAGTGATATGAATCCCACGAGATGGTTTCATTTTGACCTAATGTTACTCATTCGACTGCCTTAAAGGAAGTAGGTTGGCCGTTATGATAGATAATGGGAGAATTCTTTGTGATGTCCACTACCAGTCAACTTTTTGATATATAATACTAAGTTTAAGGTGTTATGTGTTGATTTAATATACATATATATTGCAAAATTAACACGGGAGCAGTAATCACCACAAATATTTACCATTGGGAGGGGTAAAAACATTTAAGATCTACTCTCTTAGCAACTTTCAAGGATATAATGCGGTACTGTTAACTATAATCGCTATGTTGTACATTAAGGCTCCAGAACTCATTCATCTTATAGTGGACATCTGTACCCTTTGAACAACATCTCATTTCCCCTAGCCCCTGGTAACTACCATTCTACTGTTTTTACATGTTCAGCTTTTTAAAAATTCCACATATAAGCGAGATCATACAGTATTTGTCTTTCTCTGTCTGACTTACCTAAGCATAATGCCCTCAAGGTCCATTCATGTTGTCATGAATGGCAGGATTTCCTTCTTTATCATGGCTGAATAATATTCTGTTGTATATATGTGCCACATCTTCTTTACCCATTCATACAGATCATTTTCACATGTTTTCATGTTACCAATTACTATCCTTTCGTTTCAGCTTGAAGAACTTCTTTCAGCATCTCCTGTGAGGCAGGTCTACTGGTGATAAACTCCTTCAGCTTTTGTTTGCCTGAGAAAGTCGTTATATGTCCTTAGGACAACTTTGCTGGATAGAGTATTCTTGGTTGGCAGATCTTTTTTCCTTTCAGCATTTTGAATATTCCACTCTCTCCTGGCCTGGAAGGTTTCTGCTGAGAAATCTGCTGACAGCCTTATGGGGGTTCCCTTGTAAGTTACAAACTTCTTTTCTCTTGTGGCCCTTAGGATTCTTTGTCTTTGATTTTTGACAGTTTTATTACAATGGATCTTAGAGAAGATCTCTTTGAGTTTGTTTTGGGATCTATGAATTTCACGAACTTGGATGTTCAAATCATTCCCCTGATTTGGGTGGTTCTTAAGCCATTATTTCTCCCTGGAAGACTGCCACAAATTAAATATTAATGATTATTCTTTTCGTTCCACTCTCACTCTCCTCTCTTGAGATTCCAATAATTCGTACATTGTTTCTTTTGATAGTTACCCATAAGGCACATAGGCTTTCTTTATTCTTTTTCATTCTTTTCTCTTTGTTCTCCTCTGATTGGATAATTTCAATGGTCCTCTCTTCTAATTCACAGATTATTTCTTCTGCTTGATACATTCTGCTGGTAATGCTCTCTATTGCATTTTCACTTATTCATTGTATTTTTCAGCTCAAGTCGTTTGGTTCTTTTGATTTCTATCTCTGTTTAATCTCATTTTGTTTGTGTATTGTTTTCCTGATTTCATTGAATTGTTTTTCTATTTTGTTGCAACTCACTGAGTTTCTTTAAAACAGCTATTTTTAACTTTTTATTAGGTAAATTGCAGATCTCCATGTCTAAGTTTGGTTACTGGTAGATTATTATGATTCTTTGGCAGTGTTATGTTTCCTTCATTTTTCATGTTCCTTAAAGTCTTGCACTGCTGTCTTCACATTTGAAGTAGCAGTCACTTATAACTATCATGACTTTGACTTTAGGAGAGAAAATACCTTCCATCTGCCCTGCTAGGAATTCTGAGGGTTTCACAGACCTTCTATGGTTATATCTGCTCCACATTTCTTGTTCCCTTTTCTGGCAGAATCTGCTCCACATTTCTTGTTCCCTTTTCTGGCAGAATTCTTAAGCCTGGATGCCTTCTCTCCATCATGCAATACACCAGGACAGGTGCTAACAGCCTCCCTTTTGCTTGCCCAAGAGTGGTGCTAAAGCTCAACTTTGTGTTCTCTCCATGGCTCAGAGTCTGGCTGGCTTTCTGCACATACTCGCTAGTCATCTAACAAAGCTTTCTCTCACCACCATCAGGAACACACAAGGATAGAAGAGTGTGCATGGAACACTAGGGGTACCTATGGGCCAATTGGAGGGATCTATGGGCTAAGTGTCCCTAGCAGTTTGTTGGTGGGTTTCTTGATGGAGTCTACAATGCCATTAGTAAGATCCATGTCCCTTTAATGTCCTCTGAGACTCCTGTCTGCCTCTCTCTAAGGCTCTTTCTGCCCCGCAGTCAGGAAGCTCATGACTCACTACTCTGGATGGGGCGAAAGGGCAAAGGGTCTCTTTAGCAACGTCCTGTATAGTTGGGGAAGCCAGGTGCCCACTCACATGGTCTCAATTTCCCTGCAGTAGAAATCACAGGAGAGAAGTTCTCTCTTGGCACTGAGCCACACCACCTTGAGGAAGAGGTGACATAAGTAAAGTCAAACAGTTCCTCTTACTCTCTCCAATGCATCTAAACTTATATTTTTTTGCTCCAACAGCGTGCTGGAACTTTTCCACTGGACTCCTGGACTTCCACCGAGGCTCTGTTTATGGGTGATTATCTAAGACAGTGTTCTCCAGGGGCTCTTGGACTGTATGTAACTGAGAGCAACTAGAGCCAGTGTGTGGGCCACTGCAGGGTACACAGCCAAGACTGAGATCTGTCTGCCTATTACCTGAGGCACAAGTGGACAACATTCCCCGCCAGGTCCCTTAGCATATGATGTTAGATCTCATAGCTTCCACAAAAGCACTTTTGTCCATGGATGGATGCTAAATTGTTGTTGGGGGGAAGGATACAGACAAGGGATGTCTTATTTGGCCACCTTCCCGATGTGCTGACTCCTTTTAATAAGAAGGTATATTGCACTAATGTGGCAGTGGACATATAATCTATGGGTAGCTGTTGATGAAGTTTAGGAAGATAAGGGAAAAGTAAGCGATTGGTATTATCCAGAGCTTCTCATGAGCCCTGAGAAGAATTTAATTTGTGGCAGTCTTCCAGGGAGACAGCCTTGGAAAATAAACATTGGACATCGGGACTGGCCTCGTGCTATTTAGCTTATTTTTGTACTCTTCACAAAAGTAGAAGGCAAGATGAACAATCCAGCTTTTAATAATGCGTTTAAACACTTAATGAGGCTAACGGTGAACATATTTTTCAGAGCTCAATTATATCACATTTGTAGCTGCAAGCTACAGAGATAAAAACTGTTTTGCTAACTGAAATTTTCCCCTTCTCTAAGAACAGAAATATCTTACTTTTTCGATGAAGAAACTCTGCAACCAAAGCTGCTACATGGACATAACACATTGCTGCCTGAAAAAGGATGACAAAGAAAACACCGTCAGAATGTGCTCCAGGGGTTTGGCAGGGTTGTATTTTAAACAAAGCCTTAGTCACCTCTGAAAAATCTCCATTTTTTACATGAATCTTGGCCATGCTATCTAGCCAGGTTTTCCTGAGCTCTGGGGTGCTTGCATAGGACTTGGCTAAGCTATACTGGAGATCAATTAACATTTCAGGGTCTTTCTCATGTTCCTTCATTTGAGCAGTGGCCATAAGAACGGTACGGATTCTCTTGGTCAAGTCTTTGACTTCTGTGGGAAATGCAGTTGCCTAATTTCAAAACAGACAAAAAAAAAGAGACATGTTTATTAATATTATTGATGTGCTCTAAGCCTTGGCATCCAATCCTGGGAATAACATATGACTTTTTACTCCTTGTTACAGTTCTTGGTATTTGGTTCTTGGTTCCTGGCATGTGGCACATCTAAAGAGCTTTCATTCTTTTTAAAATATCCAACTAGCTCAGACTTCAAAGGCTCTAAACTTGATGGCAGTATAGTCACAACACATAAAAGCATGGACTCTGGAGTCAGACTACCTGGCTTTGAACCCTAGCTCTTCTACTGTGAATTTTACAGCCATGAGAGCAATCTATATTCACCTGACTGTGTAATTTTAGTTACAACACTAACTAAAAATTGACAGCATACTATGTACCAGGCAGTGGTCTAGGTGCTTTACATGTTTTAACTTTTATGACAACCCTGTGAATTAAGTACCATCAAAATTCATTTTACCAATGGAAAACTGAGGCACATGACAGTCAAGTAGCTTGGCCAAAGATTCATATTTGGTAAGTGGTAGAGATAAGTTTTACACCCAGGTAGTCTGGCTCTAGAGCTGGTGATCCTAGCTACTCTTCCATATGGATAAGCATATCTATCCCATCCACTGACAACCACATACATCTTACCACATAAGGTGAAAACCATACTGGAAAAATGTCCACTTATACAAATAAGAGTTTATGAACCACAGAATACTCTAAAAAGATTATTAACCTCTCTCGAAGTATTGTTTTTATCCTCCAAAATCACTAAGTTAGAATCTCCTCTTTATTCTGGCCATTAAGATAGTCTGATCACTTCTTAACCCCACTAGAGCAAATCACAATTATCTGTATAATTCAAAGAAGATGAATGAAGGACAAACGTAAGGGCTAGAGAGCTTTTCAATGTGAATATAACCAAATGTTAAGAAAATGCTTTTTAGAAGTGCCTTCTTGATTCCTTTAAAAATAATAATAATATACATAAAAGCTCCTTCTTACACATTGAGATTACATTTACTAGGAGATAGGCATATTTTGCTATAATAGAGTTTATTGGTAGTAACTGTCATAACAGAATAAAACTAAGTCATTTCAGAAATGAGTCATGAAAAAGATTTCCTATCAAGGAGAGCTAAAACAGACACCATTGACTTTGAAAAAGTTACTAATCCAACATTTATATAACATGGAATTAAGGATGGTAAGTAACTAGTAAAATAAACTCTTGAGAGTATGAATAAAAGATCCTAAATGACAGAAGTTGTTTCTGTGTTCATGGGATTAGTTAGAGCATATACTGATCTCCTGGTGAACCAGCAGAACTGGCTGGAAAGCAAACTTTCCCAGCCTGAGGACAGCTGGCACTACTCAGTGTATTTTTTTTTCCACTCTAAGCAATGTTCCTGTGGGAATTTTTCTTTGCTACATAGATTCTACATGTTCCAAACATCAAGTATGCTATGGCTATGAGTTTTATTTTTTTCATTTTTATACAATATTATCAAATTATGCTGGAAGATGATCCTTCCCAAGAATGGGGATGATTCTTCTGGGGAGTGGGGAATCCTCTAATTGGCAAAGGATTCCTCTTCTCTCGTACACATGTATCACTGAAGATAAGAACCTACTCTCCATGCAATAAAACAACAAATGAATTATGACAATGTTACCGGTTTTAAGCATATAGGTAAGAAAGAGGAATGGTGGTCAGAGTCTTTAGGTGTGCCGACATGTATCTATGGCAAGCCACTATTAGTTAACAGATGATTCTTGAAACTCAGGAAGTCATCAAATAATGAATCCCATTTGTATCATTCTTCTTTTGTTGGCAATGGATCAGGCAGCTGTTAGCTGCTCTAAGAAGTGAAATTTCCTGAAATTTCAAACTCAGCACTTAATTAAGCAATATTATAAATGGCAACGACTGTTAGGAAAGAAAGGATCCATTTATTTTCTGAGCAAGTTTAGAAATCAAGCCCAGAAAAAAAATATTTAAACACTACTAGCTATAACAGCTGTGGATATACAGTATAGTCAATCATCTAATATTGAATATTTGCTATACATCAGAGTGTTCTAGGTGTTAGAAATACAGTGGTGTACAAGACAAAGCCTTGACTCATGAAGCTTATATTCTATACACTCTATTCTAGGAGTGTAAACTTCCCTAACAGTGAAAGTGGTTGTAATTTATTACTTGAAGTAAGAACATACCTTCATCGGTCTGTCACTATTTGCGAAATTATTAATAATGAATAAAGACTCCTGAAATCTTGATCCTCCACTTAGTGCTACATCAGCTATCAGCTGGCTTACAGCAATTATTATCTGTGGAAGAAACAAGCATTACTTGTCAAATGTCTTGAACAAATGCTATTTATTTTCATCATTGTATAACCCCACAAGCACTCATATGAAATGTTTCTTTTAAAGATTCTACACAGTTCCATTATAATCTACCTTCTTCAGACATGAGGGGCTTAAATTCTTCTACTGAAGTAACAACTTCAAAGGTCCCAATTTCAAATTTTATTGGAACTTTTCTTGGTTAGATGTGAAAATTTTTTCAAAGCTCATAGTTCCGCTAGACCCAAAACAGTCTCATAATAGTGAACTGAAATAAGAGTGCTCAGGTCTCCATTTTGAATATGCTTGCTAGGTAGCACCTATAGCAAAGCTTGGAATAAATGACATTTTCTTCAATGGGTTCTCATTCTTTTTCACTAGCCCAGGTACTGGACTCTCAACTCTAGCACCTCAGCTCCCTTCTTTGTTTCTGATTAGGACCTACCTAGTTTAGACAGCAGTATATGTAATGGCCTTTGATGGTGCTTTTTACTCTCAGGATCCCTTTGAGGAATGCCTAAATGATTCATGCTAAGGTGTTAATGGCTGGAAACTTTACTCTCTGGTCCTTGGAAGCAGTACACTATAGGAGCTAAGAGTGCAGACTCCAGAGTCAAACTGCCTCAGGTTCAAATCCTGACTTTATCAATTATTCATCTTGTGTCTTTCGAAAAGTTATTTAACCCTTCTGTGCCTTACTTTCTTCATTTGTAATATGGAAATGATAACTCTAAAAGAGATGTTCTAAGGATCAAAGAGGTCATAATCAAAATAATTCTAGTGAACCCTTAATTGAGCGCTTACTATGGTTTTAAGTCTTCGCATTTATTAATTCATTTATATTTAAATAAAGGACTTGAGAGAACTGATGCTTTGACCCAGAAGAACAGAACTTAATGGGGGAATTTCAGGCATGCCGGCATAGTAACTGTAGAAATGTTTTGGAGGAAGGTGATATTCAAGTGACACCTCGTATAAAGGTGAACTATAAAAGTTATAACATATAATGCTGGCTCTAGTATCTAAAGGTAACTAACTATATAGCAGGTTTTTACCAGAAGAATATACTTTTATCCAATTTTCACATTACTAATGACACTTCTAAAAACCTGCTTATGGCTGTTTCCCCACTTATAACCCAGTTTCCAATAAACAATTCCAATGGAAAAGACCATTGATATAAATATGTATCGATGCAGTCAAGATATAAATATGACCAAGGAATTCCCATATTACAAAGAGGTCTACTCGGCCACGAAGTCCCAATTTCGGTTTTGTTCGGAGCTGTTTCATCAAATAAGCAGAAAAATATTGTTGAATACTATCATGTGCTAAATGTTGAATACTATCATGTGCTAAATGTTGAATACTATCATGTGCTAAACATCTATTACATACTAGGCATTGTGCCTGGCACTATACACACGTTATTTTTATCCCTTATGATAAAAGTAACCCTGCAAGGTAAAATGAGGCAAATAGTTAAGACAGATTGAGGAATTTGCTTAGGGTCACAGAGTAAATAATTAGCTGAGCTATGATTAAGGCCAGGTAGGTCTGAGTTCTAAGTTCATACTTTTCACTATGCCTTGAAACTTCTCTAATTTTTTACTTACTGAGCATGCTGGAAAATGAAAACCACAAAAGGTACTACCTATTATGAAATATTTAACAAGTATTTTGTTATTTAATCATCTCATTTAATCCTTACAACAATCCTATGAAGTAGGTACAAATATTTACCACTATTTCATATATGAAGAAACTGAGGCACTGACAGACTAAGAAAGTAACTTGCTCAAGGTCACTCAGTGTGTTGTAGTCCTGGAATCTGAACTAGAGCATATGCTCTTAACATCCATGCTCTAGAGCAGGACTGTCCAACAGAAATATGATGTGAGCCGTATATGTAATTTTAAGTTGTCTAGAATGCACACTATTAAGTAAAAAGACACAGATGAATTTTAATATTTTACTTAGCACAATATATCCAAAATATCATGTCAACATATGGTAAATATAAAACGATTAAGATATTTTACTTTTTTGGTACTTAGTCTTCAAAAGCCAATATATATTTTATATTTATGGCACATCTCAATTCGGACTAGCCACATTTTAAGCGCTAAATGACATGTGGCTAATAGCTATTGTATTGGACTGGGTACCTCTAGACCTTGATCTAGAGGCTAAAGGTTGAATAAAAGAAAGAAGAGGTGCTTTGATTTTCGCTGACCTGCAGATGTGTCCTCAAAAAGGTTTTCCTTTTGGTATATTCAAAGTTGTTTCTCATCAGAAGATACAAAAGTGCAGATGCTTCATTCCTAGTTGAGCTAATTTTTGAGGTGCAGCACTTTAAAACCTCATAGCAAAATGCGGCACACATGTTTACTCTTCCTTTGAAAAAGGCTGAGGGAAACTAAAGAACAGAAAAAAAAAACATAAGTATCTAAACACCCAATCATAAAATTTAATCAACAATCAAGTGCCTGCTATATTCTCACCTAAAACTATGCTTGATGATTTGAAGATACATAATGAACAAAGGACCAGGGCCACACACCTTTTAAATAGTTAAAAACATGAAGGCCAGCATGTGTCAACGACAGAACAATTCACATGAATATACAAGACACCACAAAAATGTGAGGTACTGTCTATAAATGCTATAGGTGTGAGAAGAGCTCACGATGGTCTGGAAAAGATGATAAGTAGGTTCTTGATAATATATACTAAATTAACGAATGACTAAAATGACGAATAATTGATGGGTCTCAATTTGGGCCTTAAAAATCGAAAAGACAATCTGCATTATTTACTCTTCTGCTTTATGTTTAAATAGTTCCTTATATTATGAACTTCCAAATGTTAATAAAATTATAGCGGGAATCTATTCAGCAAGTTGATCTTTTAACAAAATGGGGTATAGATGAAGTGTACAGACACAAATATACACATGTTCATCCTCTGCTCATAAACTGTATTAAGATACATTTTGCATAGGGAAATGTCAATTTCATAATAATTTTTATGAAACAGATAATTACTAGACTTATTGTGGTGATCACATCTAAGGAATATAAATGTCAAATACTATGGTGTACACCTGAAACTGATATAATATTGTATGTCAACTATAATTTTTTTTTAAAAAGATACAGTTTGGCATAGAAAGAGTACAAAAGTGACTACATAATCCTCAAAACAGCCAAGTGGCTGTTACTTTGAGTTTGTATTCAGATAAACTATACATATAATATAGGCTGGTTACAATCACCCATGTGTACATGTCTAGGCAAGCAAGTAGTAAGCTGCTTCACGGTACACAACAGATGTTTTTCAGGGTGTGTGAAGCTAGAGGACCAACTTTTTCAAAATCATTTCTTGGGAATCTTGACTTTAAACCCATGTTATAGGAATCCATTTTCTTTTTATCACCTTAACACCAAGTGCAATGCTATGCAGATAATGAATGCTTAATAAACGTGTTCTGACTGGCAATCAGGAAATCTCATTAACAGTTTCACTAGATTAAACCAAATCTTGCTGGACAAGATATTCTAGTATGAAAATAAAGGCATATGGGAGGGTGTAGCTGTAATATAGTTAATCCACTATAAAAACTCTTCTACTCACACACTTCTCTGAGTGGGAAATGGCCAAAATCATCGATGACCTCCTAATTGTCAATTCCAATGGGCTCCATCTCCCCCTTATCTTATTAAACCAATCTGTATCTCATAATAATGTTGACATTCTTCTCTTTTGGCTTCCATTTACATCCTCTTTTTTTGCCTTCCTTCTTTTTGCCTTGCCTAGTTCTGTGACTGCTCTCTCTCATCTCCTTCACAGATTCCTCTCTCAATCCTTTCCATGTTTTTTCTCCAATGTACTGACTGCTCTTAACCTTTTTTTGCTGTTCTTCTTCCTCTACATACTCTCCAGGGGAAATCAAATCAGTACCATGGATTCAACTACCACTTATAATATGATGACCTCCCTAGTTCACTATGCCTTTCAGTCCCCAGAATTTAAAGCTCCTTCCCAACTCTGGGCCTTTGCATATGCATGTCCTTCTCCCTGGAGTGTTTTCTTTTGAGCTTTTCAAACGCCTGGCCCCTTTTCATATTCCAGGCCTCACTTTAAAAGTGACAAATCTATCTAAAGTAAGCAATCCCCCACAAATTGTTATCTACCTGGGCACCTCGGTTCCTTCCTAGAACTTACCATAATTACTATTTTATTTACTGTTTATTTTGTGTCTCCCTCCCCGCTACTAGACTGAAAGCTTCATATGGGCAGAAACTGTTACCGCTGGGGAGATGTGAAATCCAGTGTCGCCCCAGCAGCATGGGGAGGGTGGTGTGGTGTTCCTCTGTTCTTCCCCGCCAAAGCACGAAAGCAGCACAGATCAGTGAGATTTAGAAAAGTGAGTTTTATTAAAAGTACATTTTAGAAGGAGATGGGTCATCCTAAGGAAGGCTGCAGCCCTGTGGAGTTTGGGAAGTGAAAAGATAAAACAGTGTATGCTCCAAGGGAGGAGTGGGTTTTCAGCGAAGAGAGCTGTAACAACATGGAAATGGGAAGGTCTGTTTATATTTGGGACATGATGGGAGGTCCTAGATGATCCCTATGTGAGGTCACCTTAACTGACAGTTGGCTGCTATATAACACTTTGCCTACTGTGCATGTGCTTACTCAGAATTCAGTCTGTTATTATTTGATTCATGAACTTCCAGACATCATCATGGTATTATAATGATGGCATAATGAGGCTGAGGTTATGGGCAGGTTATGGTAGTACCTTCTGTGCATGCGTTTGTGGCTAGTTTAGCCAACAATTTTTATGACCTTTGTGCTCTGGGATTTGGGGTAATTTATAACCCTAAAAGGGAGGTCCTTAAGGAAGGTCTTCAAGGAAGGTTTCCATGGTTATAGAGCTTGGGCCTTTGCTCCTGTCGCTCATGCCTGACTAACTACTTTTTTTTTTTTTTGTATCTCTACCATTGTATCTCTAGTACTTAAAATAGTGCTGGGCAGAGAGAAAGTATTCAATAAATATGGTATGAATAAATGGATGGATGATTACTCCAAGTCTAGCTCTCTAACCCAGATGTCTTTCTAAAGCAAAGATTTATATATCCAACTGCCAATCCCAGCAGCTCTAACTGGATATTTTAATGACCTTAAATTCAACAGGTCCACAAAAGAGACCTCATTAACTTTTACCTCAAATGTAGTCTTTTCCCTATATTTCACATCAGCCATTATACCCCACTATCCAGTGAATTGATGATCAAATCCTGTAAACTTTATCTTCTCACCACGCCTTCTGTCTACCTTTGACTCTCCATCTCCACTGTCACTGCCTTACTTTAGGCCCTCATCTCTTATCTAGCCTATTTTAATGAATCTTCTTACTGCCTTTAGTACTGTTACCATCCATATTTCTCATTACCCTTTAAAGAGATTTTTCCCTGCTCACATCAATTCTCCCTTGATACAAATCTAGTTGGATTATTTCCATGCTCCCTGATGCCTGAAAGATACAGTCTAACTCCTAAGATGAGTACACATTCACCTGGCACCGTCTACCTCTTCATCCGATCTCTTGCTGAATCTATACTAAATCCTAGCTCCACTGCTACAGAGAAACTTTTGCTAAATTAGAGTCTTTCTCTTCTTTCTCCTGTCTATCCTCCGTTCTTTGTATACTACGTGTATTTCCCTCTACTGGACAACAAGTCCTTGGACTGTATCCCTGACACAGTGTCTAACACCAGTAAGTAGTTATACAGTAATTGTTTCTCAAATGGATTATTTCTGAATCTCTTTCCTTTAGTTTCTTACAACATCCCTGACATTGAACTCAGTTTTCATTATATTTCTTTATTCAAAAATTGTATTAAAAAATAGCAATTAAAAAACAACCTTTAAATCCACCTGATTTCTATACCAATTAAATGCAATAAGCTGCCATGCAAATACTGATGACCAAAAAGTTTACTATGCTCAGTTATTCTATCACACAATTCAATTCATTGGATTTCTTTGTCTTGTTGGAGTTATACATAGCACAGGGGAAGGTCTAGACTGTGCCTTCCCATAATTTTAACTCCATCTTGGTTTATGATGATTTTCATTATATTTAAAAGCTATCAAAAGCAGACCAGAAAAAAATCTTTGCTATCTGTTTCAGTCATATTTATTCCTAAAAGTCTAGCCTCAGGTTTTTGTTAAGATGAGGTAAGTGGTCTGAAAATTTACAGCCCATAGATACAATGAGCATTGAAAGGAAGGGTTCGTTCATTTGACCCCACACTGTGTCTACCATTTGCAAAATATTGCACAAGTCCCTGGGGTTATAAAACTTGGCCTCTGCTTTCAACACACTTAAGACATAAATGCACTATATTGTCTCTGGTGTGATAGTACTTTTAAAAGAAGCAAAACAGAAAAAAAAACTGGCAAAGTTGGTCATTTTAAAATGGCACTCTTCAAAAGAGGCTACCAAAAAAGGGAAGGAATGACAGGGTGAACTCAAAAACACATTCTGGTTTTAGGAGATTCTTGGTCAGATCCTCTTTATGTATATGGCTGTTCTATATCTATATTTACAAAGGCAATACTAACTTAATGGCTTTTAAGTTTGTAGATGTTATCACAACAATCCTCTTTCTTGTCTTTCCTTCTTGCCATGAAGTGAGCGCACTAGCAGTTATAAAATTTTCCTTACCTTACTAATGAAAGCACGCAATGAGGCAAATACATGTTTCAGCGACACTTCAGATTGTCCATTCTTAAGAAAAGCAAGATGAATATCAAATACTTTTTTCATTAATGGGTTGTGGCCATCGTTATTCAAAAGTTGGCTCTATAAAACATGAAAAAAATGCATTTTGTAGAAATAATTTATGCTACTCATTCCCCAGAAAGACAACTGATTTTACCCATACCTGTTTAACAAACCAGTGTTTCAAAGTTTCAGAAAAAAAGTCTAATTTAAAAACATCTATGCCATCTTTAAACTTGGAAATCTCAAAATGCTACATAAACTACATCTATACTTGATTCTCATTTTAAACAAATGAAAAGAATATTTTTCCAACATAACACACCAAATACAAAACTAGTATATAAAGAGTATTTTTACTAATCTAATCATACTACTTCTCAATTAAGAAATCAGTAAATTTAAAATGGATATAAGGCAACCAGCCTTTGTATTTATCTGAGGGAGACTAAATAATGTAAGAATTAAGGAAACTATTAAATCTATTTTAAAAGTCTATTATCTAATTTACTTTTTAAAGTAAGCTTTTTAGTATAAAATATATTTCACCACTGGTGACAAATTAAAGCACTATGAGTAGAGATAATAACAGGTATCACAACTGAACAGACCGTATAAATTGTTTAAATGTTCCTTGTAAAGAGAGACATAAAAGAAATAACGAATTGTAGAGAAGTATCTATTGATCTGTGAACTTTTTTTTTTTTAAAGGCATTGGTGAACTTCTCCAGCCCTATTCTATCCTTCAAGAAACTAGCGGGTTACAACTTTGCCAATAACAACAAAAACTAAAATAATATGCAAAGTTGTGACAGATCTAATGGTAACATCAACAGCTAGATTCCCTGAATGGTGTTAGATTTTTCTGGCTCTTTCCTTAATCTATTTCTAAGCATGGTGTAGTGGTCAGAAGTATGAACTCTTGTGATAACTGGCCTAGATCTGAATTCTGATTCTGCCACTGACCAGCTATATGACATTAACCTCCCTGTAAGTCTCAGTTTCCTCATTTTAACATGAGAATAATAACAGCATCTATATCATAAAGCTATTATGAGGACTAAAAGTGAGTTCGTATTTGTATTTTTAAGTTTATTGAAGTATGATTTACATACCATAAAATTTATCTATTTTAAGTGTACAACTCAATTATTTTTAGTAAATTTATAGAGTTATGCAACCATCACAATCCAATTTTAGAGCATCCATCACCTCAAAAACATTCCTGGTGTCCATTTGCAGTCACTCCACCTTCCCTCCCCCAGCACCACAATAAAAACTGAATTAATATTTGTAAAGCACTTAGAATAGTGCCTAACATCTACCAAGAGGTATGTTTGTCAAATAAATAAGAAGTATCTGAATAGGAGGAAAGAATACAATGCAAGCCTTGAGGCCAAATATCTTTCTTATTTACTGGCACAGTGAAAAATGAATTTGGGTTGCATTTTAATGAGAACAAACTTCATACTTCACAAAGGGATCTGAAGCCTATTTTTTTATTAATATCTAATTCAGTCTTCCCTTGTAAGCTACCTTGAAAAGCACAGAAGGAGAAAGAAAAAAATTATACATGTAACTTAGGTGAAAGCAAGCAAGATTTTTCATTTTTGAGTTCTTCCACTAATGCTACATTACAGTGATATAGCTTTTACTTTTCAAAGCACTCTCACGTCCATTATTCCAGTTTACTTCTTCAGCAACCTTGCAAGATCATTGTTTCTACCTTATTCTTTCTAATCACAGCAATGATGACTGGTACTGAAAGGCAAACATCTGAGGAAAAAAATACTAAGCACTTGACTAAGGAAGCCAGCCAGACTGCATGGACAACATCTAGCCTGAGAAGATACCTCATCACAACAGGCACTTGAACGAACTGATTCAATCATAATTTGGACTAAAAAATACTGTATATTTTAATAGAGGTATAAAAGAGAACCGTTTTTAAACATAAAAACAATAGAATGTAAGAGGCAGAAGGGAGTTTAAAGGCAAATTAGCAAATCAGTCTGATCCCCTCACTTCATGGATGTGGCAAGTGAGTCTTAGTGAATTCCCAAGGTCACAAAGTAGCCAAACTCAGTCTCTCATCCAAGTTTTCTGACTGCTCACCTGTGCCTTTTTCACTACACCAAGCTTTCTCTGATAGTTACTTTTTGCATAATGTTTTCTTTGCAATGATGCCAACTAAATTCTAAGTCTTTATTCTTACCTTGAAGCACTGGGTGAAAAATGATATGGTATCTAGTACTGTTAGAGAAACTTCAGTGGCAGTATTGCCTTCAAGAAGTGCCTGATGGAAAATGTCTGCTTCAGTTGTTGTAGAACCTAGGATTAAAAAAGGTAAAGGTAAATTAAAACTGCCTAATAGAGATTTACTTAACAATTTTGAATGATTTCCCCCCCCCCCCAAAACTCAGAGGCAAGCAAGAAGCAAGGAAGCTCTCAATACTTACAGACCCAATGAGTTTCACCGTATTTATTCCTTAATCATATATGGTCTTGGTTAATAAAGCCTACTAATTTTTTTTTACTTCGCCTCTCTGTCAAAGCTCTACAACACATAATTAGGTACCCACTTCTTTGGAGACATTTTGGTGATGAACTATGGCAATGTAATTAGGAAATAACAGGGGAGGCATTTTAGGCCGTACCACTAATTACGTGGGCAAAAATGTGAAACTCCTAGAAATTCAGCTACATTACATACAGTGGTACCCTATGGCCAAATGTTTTCAATGATGTGTCCAATGATATAAGACTTGTTTCTAAATCATAAGAAAAACAAGGCATCTGGGTCAACTGAAGGAAGTAAGCTCATTACAGTTTTACAAGCGACAAGAGTAATGCTGAGGCTGTAAGACTTGCATATGTTTTAAAGCTCTGTTAGCTCAGGGCCCATCTGCTCAAGACATTTGTTTTTATTATCACTCTTTATTACAAGCCACTTTTGCTGGTTTCCTTCTCTGCAACCTCCAGAGGACTGCATGGAAATGAAAAGTTTTCTTACTCTTTGACTTTTTATTAATATTTGCTTTTCGGAGGATATCTTCCATTTATATAACCCTCTAGCTTCCCCAGTAGGACAAGATTCTTTGTCCTACTTGCTTGAAAATACTGCAACCTGTATGAAATACACCTTTGCCAAATCAATATTTACAGTTCTTTAATTTCTGCAGTCAGCCCGTGTAATCCTTAAAATCAATGAATAGTAACTCTAAAAAAATTACATAAGATGCTATTATTTGCATTAAAGTTTTAACAGTAGCAATGAAGGATATCCAATGTAGCTATAAAAACAATTCTGTCAGAAAAATTAATTTCTTTAATAACGAACTAAGGAAAACACCACCACTACCTAAAATTGCTAAAAAATCTATGCATATTTTACTATTTAGTCATGTATGATAAAAGAATTGTATACAAATACATAGATATGCAAATAGATCTATGTATGTAAAATCATTTTCAATCATATTGGTTATTTAAGCCAGAACTTCTTCAAGGTTAAATAGTATTACATTCAAACGGGTACCCTACACACATTTTCACTTACTGTGATTAAGTGTAAATGAACTTTCCAGGCTACTAAGATGCTGGAGCCGGGCCTGCATTACTCCTGATCTGTTTCGCAGAGCTGGCATGGTTTGCGATTTTCGGTCTACTCCAAAGTGTTTTGACAACCAGGCATCATGTACCCTAAAATAAAATCTAAAGTTAGATGTTGGAGTACTCTAATAATATATCTCAATGTTAGATGTTTTTTAACTAAAAAAAATGATTAGGTTTCCACATAAACACTATCCTAAACTCAATATTCTTCTATTACTTGGTTTAAATGAGATGTCACTGGAAATTATATGAAGCTTCAATGCATATTTAAAGAAGCTGACATTATAAGTATATAATTAAGGAATTTAGAGAATTTCTTCCCTCCTCCTCAAAAATATCACAGTAAAGTGGACAACATTCTAATAAGAGTAAGTCTTTTCTCGGGAGATGAAGGACAAGACTCCGAAAACACTGAGAGCACTACTCAGATTTGAAATGGGGCAGCGGGGATCATTTCTAGATGTTCAAGAATGAGTGCCAATCAAATGTTTCTGAACTTGAGCTAAATTTGGACCAGAAATTTTTTACTCTGTAAACATGTCTATATTGGGATTTGCAATTTTTTCTGTTTTCCTTTAACTTTAAGGTTCCATTAAAAAAAAAAAATTACAACCGGGTTATCAGGAACAAAGGAAGAAAAAGAGTTTGTCTATTCTCTAGGAAAGACAGTAGGAGATTCAGCAGAATCTTAGAGGTTAAGGCTCACAGTAGCAGTTATCATGCCAGCTTCAAGCCATGGAGAAAGACAGTGGAAATGATCACCTGAATTATCTATTGTTAGGAACTTCCAGAGACTGAGCAATTATAAACCCCATCCAAACAGCCTCTTTAGTTTTTGGAAGTGCCATGGAATTTAACTTAAAAAAAAAACAAAAAAACAAAAAAAAAACAACTCTCTTTGAGTTCCTTTAATGATGAATTCTACCCCTAAAATATATCTCATTGAAAATAAGCAATTAATTTAGGATCCCACAAACAATTTTTTAATGTATTTAAGTATTTTTAAGAATTTATTTCACTAACACTTAAACAACAAAAAGATAAAATAGATGCTATACAATCACTGTTGGGGATTTCTGATTACTTTAGAAATTGAGGTGAGTATTGACAGATTATAGATAAAAGTACAGACCTTACAGTTTCCTGACTTCACCTAGATCTAGCCTTTTTTCACATCCTTCAGAAAAGACAGTATCTGTTCTAGGATTAGAACAGAAACTCTGCATATCAAGCTAACCATTACCCTTTGGAAAACTTAAATATATCAGCTCCTACTAGTTTAATTTAAACTTTGAGTTGAGACATGTTAAATAAATCATAGGTTGTCTTAATGTTAATTTAAAATGAATAATCTAGGTTTTACACGGCATGATCAAGACTGCCCTCTGTTGGAACAAAAGGAAAAAAGTGGAAATTGCAGTGCTATGGGAATTACCTTGCTATGTTTCTTTTCCCCATATATCTAAAGTGAAACAAACATACTCTAGAAATAAAAACAATGGCATGTTAGTAAAGTTATTACCATTCTCTGAAATTTAATAAGTAATGTTTTAAGTCACGTTTTACAAAGGATACTTATGTAAATCATATTACAATATGTTTTGGTAGACAGAAATAAATATACGCATAACTATGTGTAGGCTTGTCATATTACATCTTTCTACATTTATTTGCTACAATTACATCAGCATCAAAAAGGCCCACGTCTTCATATACAATTTTAACATATTTTTTTTAAAAACCACATGTAAATCATCCTTTGTTCTCTGTAATTTATCACAGCAAAGATCTCTAGTATAGACATTAATACCTAAAAATGGTTCTTAAGCCCTAAAAATTGGGACACTTGCTATATTTTTAAATAATGGCATTAAAATACTTTCTATTACTAAAAAATCTCAAACACATACAAATGTAGAGAAGATGGCAAACTAAACTCCCACATACTCAGCGCACACCAGCTTCAATAATTATCAACTCATGGCTGTTCTTGTTTAGCCTCTACTCAGAACAGGTCCCCTGCTCTCCTTCTACCTTTCCTGCCTCTGTACTTTTTAAAGTAAATCTCCAACATCATATTTTCATTAGTTAATATTTCAATATAATTAATTTTCTTTTTAACTGTTGTTTGCTGACATTTTCTGCAAAATTTTGAAAGACTTTTTTATGCATTGATTACTCTTTTTGTGTTTTGGTAGACATGCACATACAATAGCATATATGTTTACTATCTAAAAATTTCTTACATTTTGCTCTAATTTTTTTTAGTGTTCAATAATAATGTAAAAATAGCTAGGCATACAATACAGAACAACTTCCCACCTCTACCTAGGAAAAAAGACTAGATTATTTCCCCAAGTGCCTTGGACTAGAGATATCTCTATATATACATTTAAGTGGGTAGAATTACTCAGCTCTACCTAAGAGTACAAATTCTAAATTCCAATTATTTAAGCTGCTCCATTAAGTCAACATCTGCTCTAAATGAATGATTTAGGACAGCTGACACCACTTCCAGATTATAGAAAGATTCCTGGTGGGCTGTAAAGATGGTCTATTGTTAGTTAGAATTTTCTATAGTATAACAAGTATTCCATCTCCATGTTTTTCCTCAATGTGTGAGGAACACATATATGCTAGCCTCTATATTAACAAGACAGTTTAACACTTCCTACATTATTAGCAAAAAAGCTGTTGAAACCAAGAAAAAAAGGTATTATTTTGTATAAATATTAAATTAAGCTCCCCCAAATGAGGGGGAAATTATAAAAATTAAATTAATATAACTTACTCTAGAAGTATGAGAATGTTTATGAGCTCCTGAGGAGATACTTTATTCCAGTAAGTTAAGAGAGTATCTGAAAATGCAATAAATAAAGTATTAGATCTTGAAAATAATTAGAGCAAACAGCATTGTGAACCCCAAAGTACCAGTAACAGCCTCAACAACCATCATCTTAGGCCAATTCTGTTTCTTCCATATCCTCCTCTCCCATCTCACTGCCCAATATGCACACTGTATTCTTTTGAATTAATTCCAAATGTACCCTTTAATCTATCATTATTTCAACTTCAACATTTATTTTGTAAATGTTCTTTTGGATAGTTTATCCTAATTTTCATATCATTCCTGAAGACAGAGGAAGGAAAGCAGACCTGGGTTTTTTTAATGAACTTCCTAACATTTTACGCAAGATGGTGCATTTATGTGATTTTTCCAAAGTGTGCGTGTGGGGGGGGGGTCAAGTACCTTTACCAACTACTCAAAGGGCTCTCTAAACCAAAAAGTTTGAGAACTATAAAGTTTAAAGGGAGAGACAGATCATTTTCCCCCTCTTTGCCCTTGGATTATAAACTCTGAAGTCCTGGCAAAACACACACACACACACACACACGAATGCATGCACGCACACACATAAACACCCAACTGTTTCAGATATAAAAGTCCCTGAAATGTATCACAAGCACTTCTCCGTTTACCTACTTTGTTACTACCAACCTACTCACTGGAGATTTAAAAAAATAATAAAATTGCCACCGCTTAACTTTCCAATCCTTTCTTATCCTACTCAGATATAGCTAATGGTGTCAACAGATCCTCTTCTAAATGTAAATATCTTATAGGCATCGCAAAAACAGGAAAATGACTGAATTGCCAACCCAGGTAGAACCTCCCGAATTGAAGATAGGGATGGAGGACTGGGCAATGTTGGTCATATGGAGGGGTCAGGAAGCGGGTGGTGTGTGGGATTTCAACTTTACTTTCAATTTTTTAAGGCCATGAGTATTGATAGTTTCCAATGATTATAAAATACTGATCATCAAGAATAAAAATGCTAGAATTGAGTCAAATTAGATTTGTTTTTAAAAATTAAGCTAGCGGTGATTTCCGGTCCCCCCGCCACCTTTGAGTGCCTTTCTACTCAGAGAAGCCAGATCTCCCAGAAGTCAGTGGGTTTCCGGCCTCTCGTCAAACCGCTAGCTTCAAGGCGCCATCTTCTCTCTCTCGCTCACCGGCTCTTTCTGACAAAAGTCTTGGGCCTCCTTTCCACCAAAACTCCAGGACTTTTTGGCCATCCGAGAGTCACCCGTGAGCCACCTGAGGGCCACCCGAGAGCCGCTGGATAGCCATCCGTGAGCCAGCGGGAGCCACTGGAGAGCCATCCGTGAGCCA